AAGCTTTTAAGACCCCAGTCGCTACTCACCAATGTAGGATGTAGAGCAACGCTTTTATGTATTTTGTTGTGCCAATTGAGTCTGGTGTACCCCAGTACTATGGTCCTGAGGTAGTAGATCTATTGGATCTCTCTCCCATAGTGTCGGGATGTCTGTGAGGGATTACTCTGTGTCTGTTTTCTATTGTTTCTGTAATGACTGCAGGTATTTTGTATCACTGGTGTCTGTACAAGATTAGCCTCAGCTGAATCTATCCTTGGTCTAGAGTATACCTCTATTCACTGAACCCTGTCTGATCATCTCAGGTGCTTATGTGTTTATCTGTATAGCCTAGTGTTTGGTGTTAATGGTGATGTGGTATTGTGGACACATTGGTTGATTTTAGCATCTGTCGTCTCTTATGTGCACAGTTCAGTGTCCTCTCATTTCCCAATGTTATCATGGTGGTCATATATCCTTCCCGTATATCCCTCCCCCTACCCATATCAGTGTGTAAGCCCCAACTCACCCTAAATTAATCCCTCCCATTCCCTCCCCATCCCGGTAACCTACTAGGTGGGTTCCCTTTCCCAAGCAAACCCTTCTCTGTCTTTTTACAGTAACAGAGTCATGCAGAACTTGTCCTTCTGCGATTGACTTATTTCACTCAGCGTAACGTCCTCCAGGTTCATCCATGTTGTGAGATGATTCGCGTATCCCTCATTGTCCTTTAATGTGGCATAGTATTCCATTTGTGTGGATATACCATAACTTGGTTATCCACTCATCCGTTGATGGGCATCTGGTTGTTTCCATCTCTTTACTATGGTGAATTGTGCTGCAATGCGCATAGGTGTACATATGTCTGTTCGTGTGCTATCTCTCACCTCTTTAGGATATATTCCTAGTAATGGAATTGCTGGGTCAAATGGTACTTCTATTTTCAGTTTTTTAAGGAAACGCCATACTGTTTGCCACAATGATTGTACCATTTTACAATCCCACCAGCAGTGCACAAGAGTTCCAATCTCTCCACAACCCACCAGCATTTGTTACTCTCTGATCTGTTGAACTTTGCTATTATTGCTGGAATGAGATGATATCTCATTGCTGTTTTCATTTGCATGTCTCTAATGATTAATGTAGAGAGATCCAACTGATTTTTGTATGTTGATCTTGTATCCTGCCACTTTGCTGAACCTCTCTATTAGTTCCAGTAGTCTTTTTATTGAGTCCCTTGGGTTTTCCATGTATAGGATCATATCATCTGCAAATAGAGATAGTTTTAATTCCTCTTTGCAATACGTATAACTTTTATTTCTCTTTCTTGCCTTATTGCCCTGGCCAGGACTTCCAATACAATGCTAAATAGAAGTGGTGATAGAGGGCATCCACTCGTAACGGGAATGCCTTAAGTCTTTCTCCATTAATAATGATGTTGGCCGTTGGCTTTGCATATATACTCTTTATTATGTTGAGGAATTTCCCTTCTATACCTATATTGCTGAGAGTTTTAAACAGGAATGGACATTGGATTTTATCAAATGCCTTTTCTGCATCAATTGGTATAATCATATAGTCATTTTCCTTTCTTTTGTTTATGTGGTGGATTACATTGATTTTCTGATGTTGAACCACACTTGCAAATCTGGTATGAATCCAAACTTGGTCTGGATGTATTAATTTTTTGATATGTTGTTGGATTCTGTTGGCCAGGATTTCGTTAAAGACTTTTGCATCTATGTCATGAGTGATATTGGTCTGTAGTTTAGTAATCAGTTTTCTTATTGAGTCAGGTAACATGCTTTCTATTGGTCTGGCTGATGATAAGAATAAAAACATTAGCTAAGACTTCCTGGGTGCTTATATGTAACAGGCACTAAGCAACTTGCTTTGTTTACAGTTTTTAAACTTCATAACCATTGTTATTAATTTCTTCTTCTAAACAAGGAAACTGAGGGTCACACAGCTGTCCAGCTACCACATGCCACAAATTCTAATCCAGAAAATCTAATACCAGAGTGCAGGATCTTACCTGCTGCTCTATACTATGGAATCTTCCTGTATAATGTGGCTGCCTAGAGCAAGCCTTTTGCTTAAATGTTTAAGTACACTATTTCCCAAAACCTCTTTAAAAGGATAAAGATGTAAAAATATAGTTGACTGACATGTGTTTTGGTTCTCTGTTGTTGTTGTTGTTGTCTGCCATTGAGTCGGACCTGACTCATAGTGACCGCTCCTTGGGTTTCCCAGGCAGTAACACTGCAGAAGTAGATTGCCCCATCATTCTTCTGAGGAGTGGCTGGTGGGTTTGAACTGCCAGTCGTCTGGTTAGCAGTCAAGTGCCTTATGCACTATGCTCTAGTACCACTCTAATAGAAAATACCACAAATGGGTAGCCTTAACAAACAAGGATTTATTCTCTTACAGTTTTTGAGGCTGGAAGTCTAAGTTCTAGGTGCCAGCTCTAGCAGCTGGGTGAAGGCCTCTTGACCTTGAATATCAGCTCTGTCTCTTGCTCCCTGCCCACTGAAGCTGGAGATATCTCTTCACTCAGGGAGCTGCTGGCTGCTGTGGCTGGCAAACCCAAAGTCGACAAAACGGCGTAATCCCAAAATTAACAAACAACATGGCAGACCACTAGTTCAGGTCCAAATAATCCTAAAATCATCAGGAAACATGGCAGGCTGCTGAAGGAAGACTCAGCTACGTGCAGGGTCCAAGCATGCCAAAAAGCTCAGAGACCTTTTGCAGAGCTTCTTCTTATATACTGGAAGCAGACCACACTACTCAGGCAGCTACTCAGCTGCTCCAGTACCACTCACCATGGAGATGATTACCAGTCTCATCATGGAGAGTAACTACATCCAGCTGCCCAGTCACTCAAAACCAGGCCCAGCCAAACTGACACACAGCTTAACTACCACAACATGCAAACATCATTCATCTGCTTTAGTTCTCACATGTAAAATCATATTTGTGTGGGGAAAAATAGAAATTGTGTATTGCATTGCTTTAAATTGCTTTCAAATTAATAATCTAATCTGGAAGGGTGAAAGTGAAAGCAGTATGGAGCCACAAGTAGATAGCTCTAAATAAAACTATGGATACAGATATGTTGTTGTTAGTTGCCATTGAGTCAACTCCAATGCATGGCAACCTTATGCGTAACAGAAGGAAGCATTGTCCAGACTTGCATCCTCTTCATAATCACCAGCATGTTTGAGTCCATGGCTGTGACTACTGTGACAACCCTACTCTGAGGATCTCCCACACCTTATTTGTGTTGTGCTTTACTGAACGTGATGTCCTCCTCTAGTGATTGATCCCTCCTGATGATATGTCCACAGCAAGTGATTTGGACCATGTTCTGTTGTGATCCATAAGGTTTTCATTGGCTAATTTTTGGAAATAGACTGGCAGGTCTTTTCTCCTGGTCTGTCTTAGTCTGGAAGCTCTGATGTAATGTGTGGTGTTTGAAATACCAGTGGCACAGCTTCAGCAACACAGCAACATGCAAGCCACTACAGTATGACAAACTGAAAGAAAGGTGTTGTGATACAGATACAGATGTAGATATATGATAGGTATTCTGAGCTATCGAGGCCAAGAATATCTTGGGAAGGGAAACTTCCTGGCTTTTCTTTGAATGTCTGGACTATGATGAGCATCAAAAAGGACATTTCAAGGAAAAAAAGTAGAAGTTATGCTCTTTGCATTTTCCTAATTTTATGATTTAAGTCTCTGAAGTTTCAAGTTCACCTCTACCTGTACCACCCCACCTCTACCACCATAACCCTATTTGTACAGCTGAGTTTAAGTAGTTTTACCATCTTATTTTCATGGTGTAAGTAAGCTATATTTAAATAATGCTTTTATTATTCTAGGCTTTCTGTGAATTTCTCCATTAGGACCCAGTTTCTTAGCAAGCCAACATGTGGTGCTTACCAAACCACTTCTGCTGTGTAACTTTTAAATCTATTTTCTGAGCCACTGGGTACACTGTTACAGAATTTCTTCTCCTGACCTTGTGTCTCTACTACAGTCTGAGTAAAATGAGATCAGTGGATCCTGGTTTAAAGTGTGGCATCTTCCCAGCTCTGCCACAGCCTTTACATGCACTCGTTTTCACTCAAGAAAATCTAGATGGTGCATAAAGCACCTTTATGGAGCCAACATCTGCTCCAAAAGGCAGTAAAAACGCATTTCCTGAAATGCATTTGTGTTGCATACCACTTTGGCTCATCTGCAACAATCTTAATTTAGATCATTTTACAAAGTCACTGAAAGCAATGTGTGGAGTATTTATAAATAAGATTGCTTCATGACTGAAGTCTTCAGGTTCTAATGAATGGCCCGGTTAATTTATATAATCATAATTACCTGGATCCTAACAAATGTCTCTGGCCTACTAGACACACAATAATTTTATGTTGAACACAGTCCAGAAAGCTGGTGGTTCAAACCCACCAGCCACTCCTTGGAAGGAAGGTTGGGCAATCTACTTCCACAGTGACACTGCCTCAGAAACCCAAGGAGGGGTTGCTATGAGTCAGATCTGACTCCATGACAGTGAGTTTGGTTTTGGTACAGTCATTAAAAAGTCATATTTGCCATGCTTCTTTGTCAAGAGCCAAAAAGTAGAGTGTAATCAGTGAAGGAGGAGAGAATTTCCAGAGGTTTTCTATTACATTCAATCCTTCTCCACGTAATTAGTAGAAGTCACGTAACTGCTTTTAACATTTCCAATTATTTTCTCACTCCTGTGCTATGAGAGTCCTTCACTTAAAAAAACATACAAACACTTTTTTTTTCTTCTGAGAATAAAAGAGTGGTCCTTTACATAATCTCTTATGAATAAGTAGGGTTTCTAAGTTAGTGCTCAGAGAACTGGCAAAGATTTCTAGATATTCATGCACAGAAATATAAAGTATTAGATGTTGCCTAATGGGAATGTGTAATCCAGTGTTTTTCACAGCTGTATTCTGACAGTGATAGAATATAACAAACACATATAAAAATTGAAATAAACAATGTTGCACTCCAGTTGACCTTCCTTTCATGAGTACTTCCACATATCACCTCAGTGTACCCTTTATTCAGTTTACAGGCCCTCAGGACCTTTGGAACCAATACCTTCATTGACCAGAAAAGCCAAGTATCCTATTTGCTGCAACTAAATCATAAAAATGAGAGATGTTCTTACTCAGCATCCAATATTAACAGAACATGAATTCTAGCTATGAGATAGCCAAAGTCAATAGACATTATTGACCTATGACCTGTTTTAGGCAACCATTCTTCCCTGATGATCAGAAAACCTTCATGGTTATAAAGAAATCAGCTTGCTTTCAAAGCACTGGAATTTTTGAGTTATGAGATCTATTCACTTTGAAAAGTGAATTTGTTTCTATTCAAAGGATTTAAACTAAGAAATTTACGATGTATATCTTTGCTTTGGCAGATATGCAAAAGGATAATTATTTTTTATTTATTGGAAGGTTCATTTCACTGCCATGAAAATAGTTTTTGTTAGCTATTTCATAGAACAAAAGGAATAAACAATGCAGGGAAATGAGTTGGAGTGTTGAGGGGAGAATAGGAGGGAAAAAGTAAAGAGGTCTTATGCCAAGCCAATCATGTTTCTCAGAGATGAAGGAAAAATCACAGAGCAGCTGGGGTAGGAAGTGCACCAGTACAGCTAAAAGAGAGAGAGACCATCAGAATTATGATCATAGTAATGACAGGGACTATTTTTATTCTCAGATTTTACTTTTCTTGTCCTTTTTCTGCTTTTGTAAGTAGAAGTCGTAGAACTACTGGAATGAAAGACGTTTTCTGTTTCACTATTAAGATACCGATTTTTTTTTCTCATGTTATTATGTTGGCCAATTCTATTTTTGCAAAGTGAGACTTTATCATGGTCTGATGGCCCAAAATACTGTTTTGTTTCCGCTTTGTAGCCTTGGGGCTAGATAGTGAAATTGGAAACTTCGAAGTGGGCAAGGAATTTGATGCACTCCTGATCAATCCCAAAGCATCAGACTCTCCCATTGACCTCTTTTATGGGGATTTTGCTGGTGATATTTCAGAGGTAAGTGAAAGAATGTTAATCAAAAGACACTTATCCCATGAAGTAGTCACAACAGCTTCCCTTAAAAAAAAAAAAAAAAGAAGCTGAAACATTTTAATGGGACTCAGGAGAAGCTGAAAAGGGAAAACAGATCTTGGAGTTATTTTTCGGGTTATTAATTGTAATAAATTTCATGACAATAATATTCAGAATAATGGTATTAATAAAATATTTGTATTTTTAAATTTATTTTGGCAATAAGCAGCCTCTCTATAGCTAACACAGAACACTTGCTATGTACTGTGTAAGCATGGGATTAAGCACTTTGTTTCAAGCATCAGAACAACTCTGGCAGATACAAACTGTTGATATTGCTATTTTCCTTATAAGCGAAGTGAGGCTTAAGGGAGGTTAGGTGATTTACCTAAGGACTCATGGCTAAATAATAATAATAATAGAGTTTGGATTCCAACCCAGGACCTTTTCACTACCAGAGGTTAGACCCTTAACCACTCTGCTTTATTTATTTTCTTAATTTTATTAGAAAATGAGTTTCATTACCTTGATTTTCTTATTGTAAAATGTTTTCTTATGCATAAAAGAAAATAGTTCTTCTCACTTTTATAACAATTCTTTATCTGACATTGAGTTTTTCTTAAAAAAAAAAAAAAAACCAACAATATTACCATTTACAAACTGATTCATTCGTGGAAGGACAATGTCCTGAACCAGAACCAGCATGAACGGCTCCCAGAGGCGAGGCCGAGGTCAATTATGCTTCCACCTTTCCACTTCTCCAATATTTCATTTTCTGTTTCTCTGCTGGGTTCAATAATACATTAACAGCGGTCACAAATACCTCACAAGAACTCAGACTATACTCCTAGTATTCTCCCTTCTTCAGAGGACAGCTTAAGATAAGATCCTCACTGGAACAGGTGTTCCTCAGGGTAACTCTTGGGCAGCCCCTCTCTGGGTCAGTACTGCTCTGCTCACAGGTTCTAGGGTTTTTATAAACTAGCTACGTACCTACTCACTGCCACTGAATCAATTCTGACTCATAACGACCCTTTAGGACAAAGTGATGCTGTCCCATAGGGTTTTCAAAGCTGTAAATCTTTATGGAAGCAGATGTCTCATCATTCTTCCACAGAGTGGCTGGTGGGGTCCAACTGCTGGCCTTTCAGTTAGCAGCTATATGCTTTAACCATAGTGCCACCAGAGCGCCTAACTAGCCAGGTTCTTCTTGTTAGTAATAAGGTGAGCTTCCCAGACAATCTGTGTAAAGATCAGATTGAGTGCCCCTGCTTAGCTGATTTGGGTAAAGTTTGGTTACCAGGTGGAGTTCAGGAACCAGGAGGAAAAGGCCAAATTGATGCTGAAAGTAAATGTGATAATACATATAATAAATATAAATATGACAAACAAAACAAAACTAGTAACCATCAAGTTGATTCCAACTCATAGCAACCTTAATGGACAGAGTAGAACTGCCCCGTAGGGTTTCCAACACTGTAATCTTTATGAAGCAGAATGCCACATCTTTCTCCCAGAGTGGCTGGTGGGTTCAAACTACTGACCTTTTGGTTAGCAGCTGAGTGCTTAACCAATAAGATTCTTAGAGAAAGATGTTGGATTATTTGAAATTGATACTGTTTGTTATTTTCATATTATTTATTCTTTTAGTCCTTTAGTCAATTTCTTCAGTCCCACTCATCTGATCATTTTTCTTACATTATATTCCTGTTGAAATGTTGGAATTATTTTTATTACATTAACTTCTTAAAACAGAAATTAAAAAAAAAAAACCAAACTCACTGACATTGAATCCATTCCAACTCATAGCGATCCCTCTTTTGGTTTCAGAGGTGGTAACTCTGTGGAAGTAGATTGCCCATTCTTCATTCTGAGGAGTGGCTGATGGGTTTGAACTGCCAGCCTTCTGGTTAGCAGTCAAGTGTCTTAGCCATTATGCTACCACAGTCAATAACTATTTTAAACTAAAGACCATTTCTTATTACTTAATGGAGGTAGAGTTTATGATTGAAAAAAAAAAAAATTGTATTTCTTGACTTCACCAAACCTGTTGACTATGAATTTGCTTTCCCAAACGCACTAAGTATTCTTTCTTATTGTTATCTTATTTTCCATTTTAGGCTGTTATCCAGAAGTTCCTCTATCTAGGTAGGTAAACATATGTCTCTATGATAAGTGAAATCCATCTTTGTCTAATTCTTGGATATCCAACTCTATGTTAAGTGCTATGTGTGGTAATTTTCTTTGATTCATTGTTTCTTTTAGACTTCTCACTATTAAGGCCATTTAAGGCATGATATTTAAAAGGCACTATTGAAATGTGCATCCTCCTCTAGAACATAGTGTCATAAATCCTAAACAGATAAATGGGAGGCCAAAAAGTATCCATTCCTCTCACACTCATTCTATTCCCTCCAGTCTGCCCTACCATGCTTTATTTGTTTGCAGTGGAGTCTTGTCACAGAGGCTTTTAACCTACTTGAATTCAATTCTGCTCACTGAGAGAGAAAAACAGTAAACAGTGCAGAAGATTCTTCTCTGCCTCCCATTCTGTTCACTGAGCTCAGACCCCTGATGAACTTGAGATGGGAGATACCAGGGACCTTGTGGTGATCAGTTCCTGGAGCCCAGTCACCTCATGCTGAGTATGAGTTTAAAGACAAAATAAAACCAGTTGCCATCAAGTAGACTCCAACTCATGGTGACCCCATGGGTGTCAGCATAGAACTTTTCTCCACAGGGTTCTCAATAGCTGGTAATTTGGAAGTAGATGGCCAGACCTTTCTTTCAGGGCACCTCTTGGTGGACTGCAACCTTCAACCTTGGGTCAGCAGCTCTGAGCCAACTGTTGGCACCACCCAGGGTCTCTCGGTTTAAAGATAAGCACTCCATTGACAACAGAGGTTAGAAATGCAAGCCAGCTACTTCAGCTGGGGAACAACAAAGGGATGTTTCAACTTTACCTGATTTCTACCTCAGGGGCTGAACTTGGATCCTTACCCTCAAATTAGATGCAGCCTTTCTATTGGTCTTGTCCCTCCAGATTATAAACAATCTGCCAGAAAAGAAGAGTAGCTTTTGAATTTCTTCTCTTAGAAGTCATTTTTTGTTTTATTTTTCAAAAATAGTTATACTGCCAGCCACAATATAACTATTGACACATAGCACTTTCTAAAAGATTCCTTGCTTTTTCTTTCAGGAGATGATCGAAATATTGAGGAGGTTTATGTGAGCGGAAAGCAAGTCGTTCCGTTCTCAAGCTCCGTGTAAGACCCTTGGGCTTCTGAGAATGTTCTCCTGACCTAACATGGTTTTGCATCTCCCTTCTGCCCAGGTGGAGTTAGAAAGTCAAAAAACAGTACCTTGTTCTTGGGATGACTATCTTTTTCTGTGTCTAGTTACAGTATTCGCTTGACAAATTCTTGGAAGGAAATTGCACTAATTCTTAACTCCCTGGTTGGGAGAGTTCAAAATTTCATGAAAATTCCTCCATCTTGAGCTGTTCAGATTTACTTTAAGCTCAAACATAAGGAAATGTTTTTGCTGGTGATGTTATTATGAGATTTCAGTAAAATCTATTGCATATTTTGGAATACAGAGAGAAAAGATTCCTAGAAGGTTAAATATTTTGAGTTAATTTGAAAATTAGAAACCTGAAAAGGACCAGTGAGAATATTTTTGTGACAGAGTAAGAGACTATGAACAAATTTTGGAAAATCACTTAGGATTGTGTTTGAAAATTACATACTGAGCATACTAATTTAAAAAGAGAACTTGTTGAATTTTAAAATGTTTTTCTAGATTGACCTTGTGTTCTGGAAATTTGCACTTAAAGGAATTTGCATTTCAGAGATGTGTTATTGATGTGTTTCACCCTCTTTGGGGATGAAATGTCAGAAATTGAATGCCACATGCTTTCTTAATGTAATTCCGTGCTTGAGAGTGTTTGACAGAAGTGGATATTAAAGATTTAAATTCTCTTAGGAATATTATTCATATAACTGTGGCATAAATAATTGTATTTTTGTGTATTTAATCACCTTGATTAATAGCTGTGTGATGTTATTGCTTCAGATTTTATTAGAAGAGACACAAATTCCATATTCCACTGTTGTGTAGACTGGAGTTTTCATAAGTTGGAGTGGGTAGAGAACATCGAGTTGTCAATATCAAAGGAAAGGCTCCACTATACTGGCCTATTCTACCCAAGCACTATACTATATTGTTGTTGTTAGGTGCCATTGAATCAGCCCCAACTCATAGCAACCCTATGTACAACAGAACGAAAAACACTGGTGTACTATAGTTACTGGATATTTCATATTCAGATGACAATCTCTTGGAATTTTAAAATGAAGAGCAAGTCATGTTAACGAAATATTATTAAAATCTATAAGCATTGCTTATGGAAAGCACTCTATTTCCCACTTTTATCCAGTTGTCTTTTTAATTCCCTCCATTTTTCAGGACATTAGAGATTTAGAATAAAAACAACAACAAAAAAATGACATGCCATACACCATGCTTATATTAATAGAACGTAGTTTGTAATAGACATCTAGGAAAATTAAACAAAGAACATTTTTATACTTCTTAACCTAATGGAGTGTGCTTTCCCATAACTTAGAATTAAAACCAAATTATGACTTTATAATAAATGCTTGAAAAGTATTGATATGAATATGTTATTTAAGTCCCACACAATTCTCATTTAATTCTGAATACTATATATATATATATATATATATATATATATATACCAACAAGGAAGAAAAATAGTTTGTCTTAATATATCATAATGCTTGTTCCTACAGTTTGGGTAACACTTATTATTGCCTTATGGTAAAGAACTTTATGTAATATGGTTAACTCTCTATTTACAGAACTAAGAACACAATCCCTCCTCTTATACTATAAATTTTCCTTTCACATATTCATGCTAATTAAGCAGTAATTTACCCAGGGTTTCTCCCCTCCTTCCTGAATGGCTAACAAGAACATTAGAAACACTTATAGATTTGATTTGATACAGTAAACCTAAAGATTGAACAAATATTTTATTGTATTTTTTTTCCTTTTAAATAACAGAGTTAACATTGCAGGATTTTAAGTAGCTCAGTAAATCCAATTTAAGTCTCTTATTTCCAGTATTTTAAATTCCTGATCCATGTCAAAGAAGCCCTAACAAATTTATCCCCAACATGGTGTCTAACCCAAGGGAGTAGGCTCAGGAATTTAGATGAGATGGGCAAGAACTAGTAACAGGCAGCACTGTGCCCAAGTCTTGCAAGATCCTACACTTTTATCTTTCTTAAGCATACACATTTTGATGTTGAACATCAGTTTTCATTTAGATTTGGGATCCACATGCAGTAAATATAAATTTATGGCATCACAAGCAGGAAGAATGGCCATTTATAACCAATGTGTCTAACATCAGATTTCCCCTTAATAGTATGTTAGTACCTGCATATCATTTCTAGTGAGAATAGAATGTGTTGAAATGTTTACATGTGCTTTGATCTCCTTGCATCCCTGTAACTTATGAGTTTTATTGCTCCCAGTGCAGTGTTTCTGAATGCTGCATATGCTCTTTGCAGTACTACGGGCATTAGCCATACTCATGGCCAGATGTTCTGCACTTTGAAATGTTGCCTTTGCCTAATGTTGGTTGACTTTGTGAATTGTGGAGAGGCAGTATCCCAAGCCAATCCTCGTTGTCACTTGATGCTTGAATACTTTGCTCTCTGACAGGAAAGAAAGAATTACAACTTGTTAGCCCCCTCACCCCACCCCACACCATTTCATGATATATATATATATATATATATATATATATATATATATGTAATGTAATGCACTTTGAAAGGTAAAAACGTATTCAGTAGTAATGACTGTCATCAATTTACAAAATATATTTTTTTGCAACCAGAACACAAAAGCAAATAGCTAAGGTGATCTTTGTCCTCAAGTGACTGAAAGGTGGGAAACAGAAGATGAGAGGTTGTCCTAGTAATTACAAATTGAGATTGAAGAGACTTTGCTTCCCATATTTATGCCCTAGCTTTTTCAGTAATTTAACTGTCAAGGGTTTTCGAATCCAAGAGGATATCTTGGAACAAGAGGAAGTCTTTCTAAGTTAATGCTTGTGAGCATTGAACCCAAGTGGATCTCACTTCAGTTAGAATTCTACACATTAAAGGAAGGGAAGTAGTAGGAAAACACTCCCTATGACTCTTAGCTGATTTTGAAGTGTGCCTTGAATATTCCTGTTGGCAGCTGCAGCTGAGATCTTAGAGAGGAAATATCGTGGATGTGAGATCCAAGAATGTATTTTAAAATTTTCACTCCTAATCAGACTCTTGGTGGTGTACTGCCTAAGGCATTTGACTGCTAACCAGAAGGCTGGCGGTTCAAACCCACCAGCCACTTCTCAGAAGGAAGGTTGGACAATCTACTTCTGTAGTGATACCACCTCAGAAGCCCAAGGAGGGGTTGCTATGAGTCTGGTCCAACTCAATGGCAGTGAGTTTGGTTTTTGGTTTACCAGACTCTTCCTATTTTGAGTCTTTCACTTCAGAACCAGGTAGATGAAAAGTTTTAAAGGCAAGCTAGAAGGCATGTTTTGTCAATTCTACCTTGTGCTGTATTCAGAAAGGATCCTGAATTGCATGCCTTCTTGTAGCCTTTTGAGGACTCCTTGGGTGGTACAAATGGTTAATGTGCTTGGCTGAAAACCAAAAGATTGGAGGCTCAAGTCCACTTCATAAGAAAGGCCTGGTGATCTATCCCTGAAGAAGCAGCCATTGTTACCCTCTTTTTTTTTTTTTTTCTTTCAGGTTGATGCTGCTGCTAAAATCATGCTTAAAAAGAGTGTTCTGGCTATTAAAATATAGGTTAAGAAATGTCAAGCCCGTGGATAGGCTAGAAATTACTCTAAAATTGAGTAGATTGTTATGAATTTTGCAGTTTTTTTTGTGAAAGGAATAAAGGAGATATTCACCATTTCAGACCTGCCTCACCACTTGCAGTATGATTTTAGACCCTCATACTTCTTAATGTCTCTGAAGGGAAAGCTTAAATAGAAGTGCCCACATGAATAGATACCGCTAGGAAGCCTTAATGTTGGTTACTATGCTTGTTTTAAGGAGCTCTGGTGGCATAGTGCCTAAGGCTTTTCACTGCTAACCAGAAGATTGGCAGTTCAAACCCACCAGCCACTCTGTGGAAGGAAGACTGGACAATCTACTTCCATAAATATTTACTGCCTAGGAAACCCAAAGGAGGTCACTATGCATCATAATTGACTTGATGGCAATAGGTTTGTTTTGGTTTATACTTGTTTTCATGCACAGTCTTACCTCCCTTTCTCTCCCACAAACCTGAGTGTGATATAGAGTTAATAGGGATCTCTAGTGGCATAGTGCCTAAGACATTTGACTGCTAACCAGAAGGCTGGGGGTTCAAACCCACCAACCACTCCTGGGAAGGAAGGTTGGGCAATCTACTTCTGTAGTGATACCGTCTCGGAAACCTAAGGAGGCATTGCTATGAGTCCGATCCCAGGGGTCAATTTTTTTATATAGTCCAAGTTTAATGATGTGCAAGAGTTGAACCATCCAATGATGAAATTAAATATGAATTCCAAGATGGCTTTCATGGTCAACTAACTTGGGTAACAGATGCTATTCTTAGTTTATCTGTTATTTGGCATTTTCTATTCAAAAGCCTGTCAGAAAGGAAACCACTTTGAATTGTTGTTAAACCCCTCCTGCTGCTCTTAAAAATGTAGATGTCTGTATTCATGGAGAATGTTTTTCTCAATATTTGTGCTGATTTGCTTACTGTTCTTGTGCTGAGTGAGCTCCTTTGTGCTTCAGATAAAAATAAATAAGACATTGTGTTTACATTATTTTGTGTTGTGAGCTTTATCCATTCAATTTTGTTGTGAATTCTGTCTGTCTGATAGAAGGGGGATTAATTTTGCAGTGTTTTTCTCTTTTAAACATGAATTTAAAAAAAAATAGAATAAAATATGTAACAAAGGGTCAACATGGACCTTTCATCCTATGATAATGTCACTATAAATAGCTTTTAAAAATCAATCTATAATACTGATCCCTTTAAAAATCAGATTGGTATTACTTTTTATTTCACCATAGTTAAGCTTATTCTACTTGGGTTTTATATAACTGGGTCTTTAAAATGAAGAAAGGTTGAGGGGTAGTATAAAGGTTAAGTGTTTCATTTTGTTTAAACTACAAGCCAGAAAGAGAAATATGCTTTACATCAAAAATATGTGTGTGTATTTAAAATGAAGGTTCACAAATTAATACTTCCCTTATCTGTGATCTCTGAGATATTCTCTGTACTATTTTATTTTATTCCATCCCAGTTTATTTTATTCTATTTGATTTCTTTTTATGCTGATAATGATTTCCCAGATTGGTTTCATGAACCTCCAGTGGGACATGACCTGCACTTTGGAAGCAGAACTGCATTTGTACCTGGACTTGGCCATGAGGGTGGACACCTTATGCTTTTAAGTCTTCATGCCTCAGTTTCTTCCTCTGTGATATGGGCATAACCTGAGCACCTACCTGCCTTAGAGTAATGAGGATTAGATAAAATAATACCAGTTACCATGGAGTCAGGAGCTCTGGTAGCATAGTGGCTAAAGCACTTGACTGCTAACCAGAAGGCTGGCGGTTCAAACCCACCAGCCACTCCTCGGAAGGAAGGTTGGGCAT